GAGGCAACCTACTTTTCTGAGTTCGTAGAACTCTCAGGAACGGTCTCCGTTGCTGAGTTCTCACCACTCATCTTCTGCTTACTTTTCAGGCCGCCGTTCTTCGAGCAATCACTGAAACACAGTATCTCACGGGACTAACTCGAACCGGTGCCGCTATTCAGCACATGGTCCAAGAAGGTTTCAGCGAACGACGAGGAGCGCGACCTCAAGCTCCCGACATCGCCAGGTTAGTCCACTTACTCTCCCTTGCTCCACAGCAATTTATCGCCTTCACTGTTTAGGGTAGCGATCGTGCTCACCGACGGCCGTTCTCAGGACAATGTGACAGGGCCTGCTGAATCGGCTCGGAAGCTAAGCATCACCACCTTCTCCAATCGGAGTCACCGACCACGTGTTGGCCAGTGAACTTGAGGCCATTGCTGGGTCACCGACGCGGTGGTTCTACGTCGACAAATTCAAGGTAATAATTATGCATTTTATTTCTGAAATTTCTCACTAAACTGATTTCCCTTCAATATAAGAGAGCTAGTTTCTGGAGAGCAGTAGAACAGAAATCTACAAGAATAGCCGCAAGCGGTCACGTTGCGGCATTGCAGTTGTAGGAGGTCACGACTGTGCGCCGAAAAATAAGCTGTAATTAAACCGAATTATTGAGTTATTAATACCTAATAAAGCGGGTGGAGCTGGCCGTTGATTACTGCATGCTGTACGCAACGCAACCGCGCGCTGCTGTTTCTGCAAAACCTGACTCTTCTAAGAGCGAATCAGGTGTTTCCTGAGAGGATGCTACCGTTCCTTCACTTATTTACCTGCTTTAGGATTTGGACACACGCCTCCGTTCGATGATTCAAAAAGCGGCATGTCCTACTCCAGTGAAAACCGAATCTCCACCTCAAGGCACGTGCAATCCCCGGACGCAGACCGGGTGCGATCGGTCGCTCAACGAATACTGCGCTGAGGAAAACGGACGGTGAGTCTCCACGTCTGCAGTATCACTGGTTTTCCTAGTGACATGTGCATCACTTTCCTAGTCAAAGGCTCTACCACTGTTTTTAGACTTACTGAGTCAAGAGCGCCTGCTTGATGACGGAAATGTGCACAA